ATATCAGTATACTTTTAGGTCATTTGGCTTAAAACACATAAGAGATACTCATCCAATAAGCAAGTAATAGCAGAGGAATGGGTGGAAAGTAGCTTCAACAAGTGAAAGATGATCACTCTGGTATTCTTTCTGTATCTTTTATGAGTCTATTAAGTATTATGGCATTGCACGTCTAGCATGTAGTGTCTTAAGTTAGCACTTAGCAAGGTCTTATGATAAAAATTAACTCATGTTCTTCAAAAATTTGGATCATACAGCGAGTTCTTGGGGATTCTCAATTTTGCTTAGTGCAGTTATAACCGAGTTTGCTTAAGTTAGCTCATGAGTACATCAAGGCATCTTTGATTTGTTACATTGTTTTTGATGGCTCGGCTTTAATGGTAAGTCAGTCAGCCTTATATATAGCTTCAATCCCACAGTTTTTTTTTTTTCTTTTTTTTTTTAAATTTCAGCTATACTAAAGTTAACTATCAATTGAATGCAACTTGAGTAATTATTTTGCATTGGTCATTGACTTTAACTCTTAACAGGTCATCATCAAATAAATAAACAATAGCTGGAGGAAAGGACAAAAGCAGCTTTAATCCAGTGAAAGATGATTCTGGTATGTTTGCTTTATCTTTTATAAGTCTTAATTAGGCACCATGCCTACACTTTTGAGAAGACTCTTATGATATACCTAAGTTTGTTGCCTGCTTGAATCTGAATTGTACAAGTTTTTTTGTAGGTGTTCAATTTTGCTCCCAGCAGGAGTGGTGTCCCAATATCTCGCTACTTGCATGGCAATTCACCAACTCAAGGGTCAGACAAGAGAAGAGTAGCTTATGATGGACTTCCTTTTTGCAGCTTAGGCATAGCCGAAAATGCAAACCTCAGGATATCAATTCTCACCAAGTAGTGTTCCTTCATGTAGGAAAACAATGACAGGTATATTCTTGAACCCAATTGCTGTAAGTTAACATAAGCTTTTCAAATTCTCTTAATTATGTTTTTGCAGATTATTTGATTTCTGCTGTCTGGTTGCTCATAAGTTTCCCATGATCACTACTGATGTTCCTTCAAAAGCATCAATATGGTACGTTGCAAGAAAGAAATGACTTGAGTTATTAGTTATGAGAATCACAAAGCAGAAAGATGGCAATAAAGATTACTTGGTTGTTTTTGGGTTTGTGCTTTTTATGTAAACTCTTATCTGCTCAGGGAATGTAGTGCCTAATGATTTCACCTTGGTAATGCAGGAGTTTTCACAACTTGTTTTACAGATAAATGGGTG